CAATTGAAAAAGAAGTCGTATAATTCTTTCACTGAAGCTCCTCTTTTAACTTATTCCCTGAACTCCTCGTAGCATGACTCTAACTAAATAAAATTTGGTGACTATTCCAAAAGCTGGAACTTCACAAACTGCTCTGCATGTAACTATAGAATTTTTTGGTAGTCCGTGGAGAAGTAATTTAAGCGAAACCTTTTTGCTCCACGTCTAGAATCGTTTTCAGTGTCACTAAAAGGCTCTCTGATCGTTTGGACATAGAAAGATTCCTAATAATTTCCTCAAAATTAGGAAATTTGTGTTTCAAATATGCGTGATTTCCTGAAATTTAAGTTTCGTTAATCCTTTAAGTTTTCAAATCTGCGAGATCTGCGATTCGCTAAAATTACAAGCAAAGAAGTAACTTTTTCTCTTAAAGACGAGTTATTTACCTTTTTTCCGCAATTGTGTTGCCAGGAGCAGAGACCAATGGTTAAGAAAGGAAAATCCCAGAAGGTTTCAGTGCATTCAGTTTAAAAGTGACTCCGTAGTCCACAATCCATCAGTCCATAACTGGAGCTTTTCTGGCGGAAAGTTGAAGGGGGTCCGTGGACAGAACGTGTCCTGGGAACTTCTCCAAACTAAGAACTCTCCACGAGCTTACGGTGTCCGGTAGACAATTAGTGAACGTTTTAAGTCTGTTGTTGTGAATTCCACAGACATTTGGCGATAGTTGAAGATCAAAACTTTAAACCACACTTGGTTTTAAATTATCATGATTAGGCGGCTTTGCGAAGATAGTATGCTGGTTTTAAATCCCAGATTCCAGCATAAGTGACCATAGCACAGAACAAAGCAATAAAATTATCAAAATCAGAGTCAATCGACAAATGTTTTCTTCCTAACATCAGAAATTTCCTACGTTAAAACACAACAGACTCACCCAGACATACCATAGTTTCTGTTGGGCTGCATAGGTAAAATCAATAACATAAACCTCCATTAAATTACAAGCATCCGCGGTTCGGACCCAGTACTCTCCCATCCTGCTCCATATCAAGAGGGGTTGATCCAGAGCTTCAGAAGAGAGATTCGAAAATTTTGCCTCCAACTTTAAGACCACTAAAGACCTCTTTCATAAATGCTGGGCATAGTTACTTTTCTTTTATATTTATGTACATAAACCTATCTGACCTCGACAACATGTTTAATCGAATTTGGTCGAAATTTCAGTCAGAGCTTTATTTGCACGAACATAAAAGAGTAACAATCATGCCTGCCATTCTGAAGGTGATCTGTGGGGCGCGGAAGGGAGTGGTCAACGAAGGGACAAAAACTTTACGTGAACACCTTCCTATCAAGTTTGGTTCCTAATAACAGATCACGTTTGAGAATTTTTACTTTGAAAATTTTATTAATGTACATCTTATGCAATAATCACCTCTTCTCTCGACCAGTATCGGTGGTCAGTCACTCCAAACCAACGCAGTTCATTTTACTGATCTGTTCTCTTGATCAAAATTACCTCATAACGAGCCCGTGTGGAATTTTACAACGTCCGAAGCTCTTTCAGAATACACCTTATTAACCTCAGGCCTGTAGTGATCTTGTAGTCGGCAACTTACTTCTCAGCCTTTTAACCAAGGTACCTGGAAGGCAAAAATTTGCACTCCACTCGTGAAAAAAAGATCCCCGCGTTTTCCCTTGTCTATATGAGAAGGCATTGTCAATCAGCAGCCAAAACCTATCGAACTGACTCAAAAGCACTCACTTGGACAGACAGACAGGCCTAATAGCAATAAGAGGAATGTCACCTTCCCCTTCCCCGTCCCCTCACTCCGCCATCCAGGAGTCTTGGGAGACAACATTGAAGATGAAGAGTAGGAAGAAATTCAACGTATTTATAAGCTCCCGTATTTTGCGGCTATTCATCCTGTCACTATAAAACCTCTTAAAGAGCGTTTTGAATGTGTGTGATTTCCACAGAAACGATCGCTTGTTTTCGGATCGTTTTGGCGTAGACAATGTACAAGCGGACAAAGATTCGTGAGCTTCCAAACGAATACTTAAAGCGTGGGCGCCCTTGTAGTGAAAGTGGGCCATTGTCGGGAGTGCTCGCAAGAGTTTGAAAGGCATCAACATGTGGTCAAGTTTAACGCTTACGAAATCGCCGGATAACTCATAGGGTAAAGGAATACGTTGGAGCACCGCAAATGTTTTTGTTTTTTAATTGCTATGCTTCAATCCGTCGTCTTTGCAAATGACAGCGCGGCTTTGTTCAAAATAACTATTTAAAACCCTTTGAATTGTTTTGACTGCGAACGCAAACGTATTTCCGGCCGTTGTTTATCGCCGTAGTGGGAACTGACCAGTGACGCAGCAAATATTTGATACTCGTGTTCTTTGACTACCCTTTTTACTGAGTTTCTAGCGCCAAGAGTGAAGAATTGCAAGGTGTCAGCCGTTGTTTTAATTGATCCAAAGGAAAGATTATACTGTCTTATTAAGTTTAATCAGAAAAGATAAAAAGCCTCACTGCGTTAATATTGATAATTGTTACAGGGAGATAACATGCGAAAGGTCAGATTTCATGACTGATTACTGCATTTTCGTTTAAAAAGTTCCATTTTGGCTGTCAAGGTAAGCAGCCGGCAATTGATTAGATTTTCATGTCTGTCCTTTGCCAAAGTAAGATCTCACTATGTTGGGACGTTCTTTTGAAAGCGACATTCACATCCCGTGGTTTCTTTTTAGCAACGCAATTTTATGGCTGATTTACCTTCAACAAATAGGGAATAAATGCATGATCTTTTTTTGCTTCTGTTTGGTCACGTTTCTTGACACAATTGATAACTGACGCGTGAATGCAGACCACACAGATATTAGAAGACATCTATTAAATTGATGCTTTGGTTATTAATACACTTGTCACCTCGTTACTTCAGTTTTGTTTTTCAAAACAGTTGAAAGTGATGAAATGAATTAGAGCATACCATGCGATGCTTTCCATGGAACCAATTTCAAACTTTCCACCTTTGTTCCAGTTCATTCCCATCTGAAGACTCTACAGAAGCCAGCCCTTGACGCATTGTTTGGGGCGGTTGTGTGACGTCATGTCCACCCTGCTCTCTTGACCTTTGTCTATGGTTGATAAAAGTTTCATGTTACCACGGAACGCTATTGAGAACTGCAGCGGAGAACGTGGTCAAATGCTAACCACAGCGAGGACAACTGGGACACAAAAACAAACTTACATTCTCGATCATTCGATCAATAGATGGACTTTGTTATTAAGATGAAATTACTTTACGTTCTCATTGGACTTTCCATTACAAATTACACTTTGGGAAGGAGTACGCTGAAACACCTACATCAAAACCGCCAGCGAGAAGTTCAGCATAAAGGTGGGCTTATTTTGAATAAAACACGGAGGGCACATTAAACAAAAAACATATGACAGACACACCGCTGAGATGGAGTTTTCAACTTTAGCAACAAAATAGCTATAGTTAGTTGTACGGGTGTCTCACAATTTTTTTTATTTTAGAAGTGCTGTAAAATTTGTAAGCGTAAACTAATTAAAACTAACATTTGTTAAAATTTCATTATGTTTAAGCATCCTATCAATTATGTAAACACATATTTGACCGCAGATTATTCAACAAAATTATACAGTGTCTATTATGAGTTATAGTGTTTTTATTGAGTTTATTCAGAAGAACAGCAAGTACATCTGTGATTTTGACCAACTAAAGATCAAATCACAAAAGTTATCGATTTCACACCTATGATGCCCAGTTTATTATCATCATTTGTTTCTTAGTAAAGCGCACCTTCATAAATAATTTTGGCTTTTGGTTGTATTTATCAATGACATAAACTGACGTCAATGTTGTGACGCTTTTGTTATCACAAACTTCTTTGTTATCTGTTGTGATGATTACAGCTTTTTCATACTTTTTTGGGTTTGAATCGTCTGTTCCATTTTGATCTCTACAAATACTCGTGCTAGAAAGGGTAACCATAACTCTTGGTATTGATCCAACCTTTCCTTTTCTTCCTGAGTCAAGGCCACGATTCCACCCTTCTCTTTTTTCCTTTCCTTCCTCCCTCCCTCTCTCTTGTCCTTCCCGCCGCCCACCCGTTTTATTCCATCTGGTTAAACGGTCGGGCTTTACTGACTCGCTCCAACCATACTAATCCTCCTAAAGAGCTTTTGCTTGAGAGGCCTTAGTCAAAACTATAGCTTTTGCAATCACGTGTTTCCAGATTAATCACATTAGAGCTGCCCATGTGAGCAAGCCGGCCATTTCTTTGCCTCATCGAATATTCAAACTTGCGCCAATATTAGGATACTTCCAGCTCTCTCTGAAAATTATTGGAAAGCCTTCAATTGAAACAGTTGTTATGTAGAATATTACTTTACAGCAGTTTCATCAGCACATTGCTTGATTGAAATTTGTAATTAATCCAATTGGCGATCGTCATCACTGTGCATGATAATAACGAGACGAAAACGTAATTTAAAATGCTAAAATTAGCGTTTAATTGCAACGTGGCTGCTCTTTGGGAGACTGCGCTATGTCACCGATCTTCTGTGTAATTGAGAAAACATAATGTTACTTTTTTAAAAAAAGATACGTAGCAATGTATGCAGAAATGTAAAGTGGTTCTCTGTCCGAGGCAGCCGTCACAAGGAGAAGAGAATATTAGAGTCACTCTTGGGAAAAACCCAAACAGCAAAGCCTGTAAAGTACAAGAAGACCGCAAACATTGTCAGATGTAATCGATATTCACCTGTTTAATGTTGATAAAAATAGTGTTTGTACACCCTCAGGCCACCAAAACATTGTCCTTCATTCAATCATCTGGCATGGATTTTTCCAAAACCTGACACTGAATACCAAAAATTCTCTACTTAGCAAGAAGCAAAGCTATGCAATACCCAAAGCTAATGTGGAATAAGGGAAAGTTGTTCTTCTAAAGAGACGATTGCACTCATCTGAGTTTTTTTCTTCTTCTTTTTAGTAAAAGACGAAAGGATCTACGAGGGTGACATATTTTTGGATCGAAGCACTCAGTCCTTACTTCAGAGTCTGCGAAGGCGGCCAGTCCGGAGTGCCATTTCATCACCAAACAAAAAGTGGTCATCAAATGTTATACCTTACACCTTTGGGGGCGTTAGTGAGTAGTAATTAAAACAGTACAGCAAAAACGAGTGAAGCTCTTTAGTTCCATAGATTTAAGGCTCTGTTGTGGTTATTCATACGGACATGAATACAAAAAATGAGCTCTAGGGACAAACAGCTTTTGGAAAGCTCAACACACACTAGAGCACCACGGACGTGATTGAAGCATCTCCATCTAAAAAATTTAGACCGATGTTTTCGCTTTTGTGAAAGCTATCCTCGTCACGCATTGCATTTGACATCAGAAATGACATCAGAAAACACTGCCCCATACGTAACCTAGACTATGATATAGATTAGCTTATACCCAATTTCGCTTGTTATTTCCTTTCGTTAAAGGCTCGCGAGTGAGGGAAGCTGTGAAACTTGCAATCAGAGACATTGAAGAGCACACGTGTATCAAATTTGTTACAAGGAAAAACGAAGAAGATTACATATATATTGTGTCACGTGGAAAATAGTAAGTTCTGATCAAGGGTAAAGATAAGAAAGGAGGAGAAAAATGTTGGTCCACAGGCGTCTCTGAGACCCTCTGTTCCAAGGCAAACAACCAGTCGAGCCTTCAAATGCCTGTCATACAACGAAGCACATTCCAGTTAAATTATGCCTGCAGACGTGGCACCCTAAGAGTTCCTATAAAAACCAAAAACTTCTTTCGATTCTTAAAACAAATTTGCTGTTGTTGGGTAGTACGATGTAGGAACAAGTAGCCCTCAGGATATAGACTCCTCAGCTAAAAGTTTTCTCCAGTCGCTGTTTGACATGATCTGTTTATTGACTCTTAGTTGCTGGTCTTCGATCGGACGCAGCGGCGGCAAACAGCGATTATCTTTAGGAAAAGGTTGTGAGCGAAAGGGAACCGCTATACACGAGTTTATGCACGCACTGGGTTTCTTTCATGAACAGTCCCGCCTGGACAGAGATAAATATGTCACAATATACTGGAACAATATTGAGAAAGGTATGCTATTCAAATTATAACGAGACAAAATCGTTGGATAATAGAGAAAAAAGATAAAAAACAGAAAGATAATATCAACTTTGATTGATAATCCGGTAGAATAGTTGTATAGTTTCTCTTAAAAATTTTTTTCGGTCTTCTGTTAATAAATTCCTCGCCTGAATGTGCCAAAATAGTACAGACAAATGCACTTTCTCAGTGTTTGAAATGTCGAAATGAAAAACATTGAACATCAACTATCAGAGCCCAGGAGCAAAACAAAGATAGCTTTCCCATGTATAACTTCAGCTATAGATTACTTCAATGGAAAAGCAATAGATTACTTCAATGGAAAACGTGCCAATTTCGCAACTGATATAATCTGCAGGAAAAACCATACTTGACCAATTTTTCGCTTTTCAGGCCGACTACATATTGCACCGCTGATATGTTTCCCCTGCCACAGTTGCAAATTAAATTATTCTCGAAAATATTGGGTTATACAATGATATCAATATCTTTATTTCTGTGGCGCTAATTCACAAGAGCTCATAGCTAAGCCCATCCCCTATCTATGTATGAATTAAATCAGTGAGTTTCACTATTTGACCTCGATTTTTCTTCAAACACCTTCAGATCAGCAATTTAACTTTCAAAAATACAATCACGGAGACGCAGATCCCTTGGACCTTCCTTACGATTATGGATCGGTAATGCACTATCGAAAATACGCCTTCACTGGGAATGGGTTTCCGACGGTCGTTCCAAAGGAAAAGTGGGCTACCATAGGTCAGAGGAAGGGCCTTAGTGAAATAGACATCAAGAAGATCAATAAATTTTATAACTGCTCCGCGTACACCACAGCAAGTCCAACACCAAAAGCCACAGCCAAACCGACAGGTTAGAAATAGCGGGGTTTTTTGCTTTTCTCTGGGCTAATAGCATGATGTATAACAATACGAGGAGTAAGTGAAACAGGGAAAAACTGCGAGCAATAAGTGCCAACACACCTGAGAAATCTCTGCATCCCTATTCATTCCTTATAGATAATTACTCTTATTTTCAAATTCTGCCATTTGGTTAATTCCTTATAAATCACTATTTTCCGCAGTCGTCCGATTTTGTAAAACACTCGTATGATTACAAACCGAATTGGACTACATTCAGTCCTATTACCATAATTTATTAACTCGTAAAGTAATTATTTAGGTCTATATAAGTATAGGTATCAAATACCAAAACAAAATTCACCAAAGCGATTAGTTTGCATCTGCCAGATTTGAGCACTTAATACCAAAAAGCCTGATTTGAGCACTAAAAGGACAGTGTATACATCATGCTTGTAATGGGGCCAGTGTAATTGCACAATATGTATTCGTGTGGCATGTCATATGCGCGCTGTTGTCGCATTTTTCGCCGAGTTAATTGTAGTTTTCTATTTTTTTTTTCTGTAAAAAAGGATGATTAGATATTTTTTCTTCCTCTCAAATTTTTTCATAGTTTTGATTGATTGGTGACCGGACGTCGTGTCGTCCAATTCTGTCTGTAATCATAGTCGTGAGTAACAAATCGGACTCCCCCTTTTGCGGTCGTATGATTTTGTTTCTCACTCGTATTATTAATGAACGAATTGGACTCCACTCAGTCCTACTATTATTACGGACCAAATGTTTGAGAGTGCACACCCCGGGGCGTGCGTGGTTTTTTTTTTTTTTTTTTTTTTTTTAACTCCAACAAGGTGAATTAATTTATAATTTGTGTGCTTTGTCATCAGACCCTCCCATCCGATGCCATTGCAGGAACAGGAACATGTACTGCCAAAGATGGGCGTCAGCGGGTTACTGTTTTCACCGGAACATAAGATACAGGAAATACATGCAAATCAGCTGCAGAAAAAGCTGTAACTTGTGCTAAGGTTGTGTGATTCTGGCAGCTTTCAACAAGATTTATCCAGTTGTCATCCTTTTTGCAACTGTTCTGCAAAAAGGTGATCTAACATATGTTACCTGAAAGCTGCTAACCACAAATTCATGGCACAAATCGAGCACAGGATTATATATTATAAAAACGGGAAATTTGTTCAATATTTATTAAATATAGTATTCAGTTTACGAGTCACTAAAGTTTGAAATTAGCCTACCTGATTCATTTCTTTGGGAGGACGACGTTGATGGGGAACCATTTATTTGTAATGGGCTTAATCTAATAGAGAAATTAAAAAAAAAAAAAGATTTATCTTGTCTGTTTGTGTTATCCCTAAGTTTAAGTATTACAGTACCACTCTCGTGTATTGCAGCATTAAACGCTCTTAACGCGCGTTAATTTGTCGCGCTCTACATGCGCGAAACACGCACACTGCGCGTCAGTACACGCACCTGCGTGTAATAAGAAAATGCAACCAAGTGACTGTAAAATGCGAGTGAACTACACAAAATCAGTTATTGTAGGTTGGTACCATCAAGTTTTATTTTCTCCCTTTTCTTCATTTGATATCAAGAGTGGGCCCACCGTGATTCAAATTTTTTGTGGTAAAATTCTAAAATTTTCCTCCAAGTAATTTTCCGTTTCGAATGCCACCAGCTCTTTTTCCTGTCACCCTTTTCCTCGTGTGCGTTTCGATAGGTACAGTAAACCTGAGTGACTAGCTCTGAGCTTGTAAGATGAGGGGAACAGGAAGCCAGAGAAGGAAAATGATAATTCAATCAGAACTGCAAACGCCACCACGGTTCAACAGTCAACGCAAATGAAAAGAAAAAAAAAACGGAAACAAAATCGCCCTAGAAAAACTCAAATGCCGATGAAAATCGATAAAGAAAAAATGTTTGAGCCACCTCGGATCCCATAGTGTCATCAACAATTGCAGGTTGCCGAATGAATTCATTGAAAGCATTTTATCATTTTCACAAGTGGCGCTTGAAAATTGCGAAAGATATCTAACCAGTCATAAGGGCAAAAGGAAATGCCACGTTATGCCAGGCACGTATTTTTTTAAAAGTATTTGAAAGTTTTCAGTGTATGAATTTTAGTTCACAAAGGGTATCTCCTCCCCATTAGCCTAAGTTGATTCTGTGTGAATTCACTAACAATTTAATTGACCAATTCATACTAAGTTATCTCATAATCCTTCTTGGTTTATTTTTTGCTGTAACGTACATGACGTATTGTACCCAGAATACGTCACCTTCCAAGATAGAGGAAGCCTGGAACTCAACTAAAGATCACTGTCGCTGATCGTTCGTTTTTCCTGTGCGAAACAGAGTGCAGATAGAAACCCTCAAATAATTCCAATTTTGCGACAGATATGGCTGCTCAAGCATCAGAAGTCGATAAAAGAAGCAGTTCTGCATCCGATATGTCAAATGTACAAATTGACGAAGAAGTGAGTGTACCAGATGTCGAAGTGAAGCATTCTCCATTTCAGTCGCAACCCAACCTTCGAACCGGCGTGCTAACCAGTGAAGAAGTGAAAGAACTCGGTGATAAAATGAGGAAAGAACAGGCCAAGAAATATTTTTCACTCAGGGTATGTACATATTACGTGTGAAAAATTCTTCACACAAGTATCGTTTTCGAAGATTTTGAGAGAAGTTTGCACGTAGGCAAATTAAAGGTGTGTTTCAAGTCCATGCGCGAAACAGCTTTCTGCAGCTTTTGGTTGCACGACTTATATCCAGGCTTTTGTTGCACCAAAATTCCCATAAAAGCACTTTGTGGAGTTCATCTTACGCTCATTTGATTGAGAGATGTTTGCAGATTATCCATTGCTTTTCTAGTTGGCAGATTTGTCGCTAAAGTAGCAAGTTCTCGGCGTAGTTATGTGCATGTTTGGAAGACACATAATCGTGAATCGGTCTCGGCGTATTTTTTGAAATGATCACGTGACTGATCTGACTTCTTACATTTTGTACCTTGCCCACTTTGAAAAGCATCTTAGTATGTTTAAATGTTTAGATCCTGACCCACTTTTGAACTTGGATAATTTCTCAGCAATTGAAGTGTTGCTTGTTTTGCTTGTTTTGCTTGCAGTTATGTCATTATTTATTTATAACAATGATAAATGATGTTACCGTCCGTTTATGAAAGATCAGGTATAAAAATAATTTTATCGAAGGCAAATTATGGTGGTTGATGGATGTTTTTATTTACTTTTTAAATTGCCATGATTTTACAAGTACAGCCCTTAATAATAAATTTTTGAAGCACCTTGATGAGGATTGGTGTCATCTTCTTGTAGCAAACCTCTGGTATTTTTTACAGTCAAACAATTTTTATTTCTGGTCCAAGTGAAGTTTTGTCACAATGAAATGTCTGTTATCTCATTATTTTTAACAAAACATGGAAAAATGACTTGAATTATGAAAGGTGTTTTTACATTTAGCTGGGGACAGAAAACAAGTCGCGAGTCCCTACGGAGAAGTGAAGGTTAGATGGTCAGATTTTGGGCTTTGATGCTCTGCCACTGAGCTTCAGAGATTGTGCAGTGAGCTGGGTCATAAAGTTCACATGTAATAGGCATCCTGCATACAGCTTGGATCAAGTATTCTTTGATTAAGTTCCTTTCCCTGCACTGATTTACAACTGTAGTTCCCTTGGTGGGCATTTCAGTCTCCTTACATCAGCATGAAATTTTATCTACTAAACTAACTGTTACCTATTTGTGGAATTCTAGGAAGGGGCATTTGCTAATGCTGTGGAGGAGTGCAAGGCCTCTTTGGATGCAAATGATGGAGAACTCCTCAGTTCATGGCTATTGAGCGAGTAAGTCATTGTAATTTAACCCTTTACTCTCCCACATTAGTATCTATGTTCTCCCTGTTCTTCTTATGAAACTTTTTATGGTGTTATACCAAGGTAGATTTGTGTGATAAACAATTCCTCTTAAGTCTGCAGTCCATCTGATAATACACTCTTGTAATTACACCAGACAATGTAATTCTTTTTATATACCCCCTTGTAGAACAAATACAATATGTATCAGTCAGTTTGCATTGTTTCCAAGGATCTAAATTTTTCAATTTTCTCAAATCCAAAATGTTGGCACACCCTGTTTAAGTCTAAATTGCAATAATTACTCCTAAGTTGACACCCTTCTTATTCATCTTTATTTATTTGTTTATTTATTTATTTATTTTTTATTATTTTTTCTTACTTTTCTCATGCTGCTTAAGTATATGTTTGTTTGAGTGCCTACTATTGTTGTTGTTTTATGTATGTTTTGTGAGCTTGGACATTGCATATCATCCATCCTAGTGTCCACTTTGTTGCACATTAAAGATCTTTTCCCTAACTTAATTTCTAGAACGATGACAGCGTAAAAAAAGGTTTTGTTTGTCTTTGAAAATGGCGACCAACTTTTTCTGAATTGGCTACCACTTTGAAGAATTTAGGAGCCAAGTGACTAACCGAAAAAAAATTAATTTCATGCCCTGATAAGCCTCTTGGTTTCCCCTGGGGTTTCCTCACCACGTGCTAAATCTTCAGCCATATCATATTGATGTATATGTAATTCCTTTTTTATTTCTACTGATGTTTCTTAATTACAAAATGGCAACATAAAAAAATAAACAAAACAAAAAAAAATGAATTCTCTTCTTTAGATGTAGTTTATTGCATGTAGCAGTAAATTTGTATCTACAATAGGAGTAATTGAAGTGATTTGTTGTATACATGTATTTGGAGTCAACACATTGCATATGAAAAAAATTATGAATTATATTAAGTACAACTGTGTATTACTAGTTGTTTTTGGTTCTATATAACTAAGCAATGTGTTTCCACTTTGAATTCCCTTTTTTTTTTTTTAATTTCTAACATAACAGTTCTCAGTAAACTAAAAACCAATTGATTTCTATGATCTATCGCAATAATTAATAATTATTGCCCAGAAATGTAGGAATTCCATTCAAAGAGGTCACATTTTAATTTTCTTGGGAGAGCACACCCCTCTAGACCCCTTCCATGTCGCATTTACTTGGCATCCTCCACACTATTTACTTACTTTCCACATACCCCTGAAATTTTCCTTCTTTCTCTGATCCATATTAAAAAAACCTGAGAAATTTTCTTCCAGTCTTATTTTAATGAAAAACTTGGGTTATTGACTGTTGAATTCTTTAACTGAGGGAAAAAAAAGCAGGCTTTCCAATCCAAATGTCAACCTTGATCCTGAAGATGTCATTTTTTATTTAGTGCCACTCACAAGACAGAGAATTCCTTATTATTACACTGTTTGTAACAAAGTTCAGTTTGGTTGAGTGACATCTTAAAAAAAATCTCAGTTATTTTTAGGTGAAATGCCAGAGATAGAGACTTTTTAAATGAAAATAAAATGTAAAAAATAGTAAAGGGAAGGATAACCAAAACAAAGAAAAACCAATATAGATTAAATCAGGGTAACAGAATTGAGTTGTTTTGTTTGGTGTAATAACATTGGTGTTTTTTGTTTATAGAATTGACCATTGGGATCTTGAGAAAGAAAGAATTGTCTTAATCACAGAGAAGAGCCTTTGTCTTGTCAAGTACAATTTTATTGGACTGAAAGTTAATGAGATGAGGAAGATTCCACTGATAAGATGTGATAAGATTCAGATCGGCAGATTTGTGTATCCAAAGACCACAATGATGATGTGAGTACATATCATTTGTTTACATGTTATGATCATGTAGAGTTGGTAACTGTATGAAATGCAAATTTATTTATCAATGTGTTTGAATCTCTGTTTTATGGATATTCTTTAACTCTCTTGCTCACAACTTTTAAATCTGCATTCTCTGCACTGTCTTCCATACACAAGTACATGGCTTATAGTTTATCACAAGAATTTGGTTTTCAATTTAAAAATATTCTATAGTTGATATTTTTCTTTGCATCACCCTCTTGAAAAGGTGCTAATGAAAAGATGTAAAGAAGAACTTTGGGTCTCCTGGGAGTGTAGGGGCTGATGAAAGAAAATTTTATCGAGAAACATCTGCATGAATTGGAATCGTTCAGAGGGGGTGGGAGTGAAAAAATTCCACTACAGTGAAAGGTGCTAAAGAATGGACAGGTCTGCATTTTATTCTGACTGGAATAGCTCCCAGGCATATCCTGATTTCTGTAGTATGATGTTGGTATTTGTGTATACTCCTAGGGGGAGAGGGATGCTGAATAACTATTGGGTCACTGCTGGGGTAGAGCTTCTCTTAATGCAGTTGACTCCCAATAACTGAAACCTTTCTAAAAAAACTGTAAAAGGCTCGAGGTAGTTGAGGTCAGAACCATTGAAAGTTGAGAACGAATTACATGCAATAATTGGGAAAAGAGTAATCTTAATTTCTCTTCTCATAGTGTATATTTTGATAAACTGAGTTTCATTTTACATTAAGAACTTGAGGAGTAAAGCTAAAAAGACACAAGCCAATTTAGTCAAGCTTATCCTTGTCCAGCAGAACCTGATGGGGACTGTTCGTTGCCTTTTGTAATGCAAAAACAAATACGAAGTAGACAAATAATACTCCGCATGTTTAACTTACATTCAATATTTTGTACCGTAGTACTGTCGTTGTGACTTGTCACATATACAGTAGTAATATTGACTGGAAGGGAAACGAGAATTGCCTTGGGCTAGTAAAAAAGTTCACTTAGAATCACGAAGAAAGTAATTCGTCATAATAAATGTTTCAAAGAATTCTAAGGAGAAGGGGGGGGGGGGTACTTTTTGATTCAAATTAGCCCAAGGCATGATTGACAACCCGTAGCAAAGGTACGAGTGATCGGGAGATGAGGTACACTGCATTATGACCTGTTGACGCTTCCCGTGTCATTCGCTTCCACGAAAAGTTGACGATCAAAATGACAATGTTACGCTTAAGCTTAGTGTCAGTTTCCCCCCCGTATATTTTCAGTCCACGTCACTTCCAAACTGGTTTACGCGTCTACTTTGGCAAAAACACAATACCCAGCTTTCTCCAGAACTGGAATCCATGGTCACACGAGGTGCCCTTTGTCACTTTCTGCTGGCACAAAGGGAATGATGTCGTAAGTGATCTGCCCCCGCATATGCAGCTTGATCCGTTTCAGGAGTCTCTAGTCCAGGCCATTACCGATTCCCACAATACCCTTCAGGAGGGTGTGGCACAAGACTCTCTCGAGATTGAGCATAATGAGCCTATCATGATTCAAGTGTATTGTGGGATTTCATCCATATTTCACAACTACGGCATCCTTGGTTTCAATCGTGATCGCGGAAAGTTTGGATTTTAGGACACTTTGACTCTAATAGCTGTGAATAGTATTGGTTCTTAATAGTAGATCATTTGTTTGAACCGTGGAATTTCCCTCTCATGCTGCAAATATGTTATAGCAAACCTGTTAAAACCTGGTTTTGTCAGAAAGTCCTTTTTATTTTCTCTAAATTTTAACAAATCGTGATGATGTTGAGGTGAAGTACATAGCGCAGGAACTTGACTTAGGCTTCTCGGTAAGAATCAGGTCAACAGGGCGGGTTCGCTATCTTAGTTGTTCCGGTAGGTTCGTCTGGGTAGACGGGCTGTCCGGCTGATCGAAATCTCGGAAATAGGCCAGAAATTTCCAACAGGTATACTCCAGTAAGGTTACTGAGGTAAGCCTCAAACATCGTCATTTGTCCCTCACGGCCACCTAGCTGTACCTTCCCATTTGAACAGGTGACAAAATTTATTCCGTTTGTCTGGCCAGCCCGGTTTTCTAGGCTCACCTGAAGAGACCTTGAGAAGGACATCACAAACGTCTTTACAGACTGGTAGCATAGGCTATGTCTTACTGCATGAAGAGCCAACAGACCACTTCTTTTGCTGCATGAGCGCGAAGGACTTCGATAGTTCTCTTGATGATGATGATAATAATAATATGATAATAATAATATGATGATAATAATAATAATAATAATATTAATGCAATAAGAAAAGCGAAGATTGGAACTGTTATATTCTTGAGAAATATCTGTGTATACTAAATATTAATTAATTAACGATTCAAGATGTTTGATGATTGTATAATTTTAAACTCGTGTGAGTAGTAGATTTTCGCGAGTTGTAAATATGGTTTTATTTACCCCTGTTGAGGTAAATATTCTTGCAGAAGTAATATTTCGAGATGTTTTAACTGAAATAGTTTAATAAACCACAATAACATCGAGAACGTCTTATCTTAACTGGCCGGCTTAATTCTTCTCCTTTACACGTGACATGGGTTCCACTCTGGAAGTTGTCAGCAGTCCATCGTTCCTCGCAATGCGCTCGTGTTTTAGGTTTTGTTTTTGGAATGCATTGCACCCCTTAGGCTCACTACCGCTTTTCTTATCTGTCAGGGATTGTTGAATGCACGCATGAACCGAGAAATACTGGAACTTTGCACAAGGAATCGAAAGTTCGGGAAAATGCGAGAACTAATATTTTTAACAGGTAGTTCTTAAGTGGTGAGATAGAGTACAACTTTGTGAGGCAGTCCAAGCATTACCAGATATTCACGCGCATATATTTTTCACTTCATAGGGTCACTGGTTATGCGGAAAACAGTCCTCGTAGCAAACAGTCGGGCATGCGAATTTTCTTTTCCCGTGTGGAACCCGGCTTCTTTCAGCTGTGGAACCCATGGTCTGACATGCCCTACTTCACTTTGACGAGTCACGTTCAAAGCATGCTCCAGGACTCCCCCCCAGATCGTTCGCAGCACGAACTGTTCTTCAAAGCTCTCGAGAAGGCCATTACTGAGGCTAGAGAAGCCGATCCCCACCAAGAAAGACTCAACAATTTTGAAGTCGTTGATGAAGACCTGCAGATTAACGTTTATTTGGGCCTCGGTGCTATGATTTATAATCAGAGCGGTCTGGGATTTTGCAAAGACCGTGGCAGTGTGTTCTTCTGATCGTTATACTACTTGATTAAGAAACAATTTCTCCTTCCTTGTGTCTTTCACTAATAATTGTTCTTTTTGGGAACACTTCCAGTTTGCCACAGACCATCTTAAGTGACTGACTTTTTTTCGAAAACTATAAAGAAGATTTTATGCAGCATTTCAAACGATTAATAATTCGTTGATGATCTGGCCTGGTAGTGTGGTGAGGAAAAGGCGTTAAGGTTCGAACAGGTTTTCAATAATGGTGATGTCGGAGAGAGTGAATTAGTTGATTGGCGTAGTGCAAAATAGTTGCATAAATAAATAAATTTATAAAAGTATCAGTAGGTGCCTCAGGGAGGTACAAATTTGAGAAAACTAGATATCCTAAAGATCACCAAGGACGTAATAACAAGCTAAGAAAGTGCCTGGTTGCTGCTGAACGAATCGATGAGATCATGAGATGGTGGACTTTTCACGTCTGTGTGAGGATTTTGTATAACTCTACATCAAAGGAATCTTTCTAAGGGATATGTTGTCAAATCTTTAATAAAGGTGTTAAGTTGTATACGATGATGTAAATGGCAAGGATTTAGAGAGAAATAGATACAAGATAATGTAATCGGATGTTTCTCTTTTGTATAATTTTTTTTGTTGTCCTCGTCGTCTTTGTTGTTGTTGTCCTTTAAGAAAAAAAATACGAGATAGTTGTCTCATTCAGGTAATTTGTACCTTTAACATGTGCAAATGAAACAAGCAGAAAGGGCATCGATTTTCTTCCAAAGTTAAATCATGCAATATCTTGAAGTTGAACGAAAATTGCTAGATTTTTCACTTATTTAACGGTTAGTGCTGACAGCAGAGATTTCATTATAGCGATATGGTTAATTTAACAACTTAGAATAACAAAGGTGTATCAATTCCCCTAGATGAAAGCAGCACTGAACTTTTTCAATTATTAAAGATTTTGTTTGCTGGTTCAATGCATTTTCGTCTTTTAAGACGGAGGGGGCGGCACGGGATATTGGATCACCCTTTACGCAGCCCTCTTCTCGAGAACTTTCCACGTAAACCCTGTTGCAAAGCAATTAGTTCGCGAATCGTTGTGTACTGATCATGTTAATTCACGAGATGCGAGTTCAACAAGTCTCGAGCAGTATTCCATTGAAATATTTGAGATTGATAGTTATGGATATGTTTTCAACAGTTAATCAAACAAAGTCACACATGACGCGTGGAAATGAGGACACCGCATGCAATCCGCAGTCTAATCGAGTTGCTGCTGATGGTCAGTGCTGCTGTATCGGCTGAGGCGAAATATTATTCAAACAGCACTGTCGTCGTGTCTACTCGCCAAGAGCGACCACGAGCTTTTTCAACAGAGGCAAAGTAGTTGTTGTCGAACAGTTCCTGAGACAACGTTCTCCACCATGCAAGAAGAATTACTATTTTTCGTGTAGTTTCTAGGATGATTACTACTCTTTTTTCATTTCTTGATAATACTTCTTATTCAAGAACATCAAGAAATCGCTTGGTGGCCATTTTTTTATTTGATTGCTGTCTTTTTTTTCAAAGGAAGGTCTTCAGTATTACAATCACTTCCCAGTGAGTACTTAAAGAAGGATATAGTACAATAATTGACCAATCGGAACGCTTTAATCTCTGCAATCAACTGGGTAGTTAACAATATGCATCCACAAAGTCTCATTCCACGTTTAGAGGCTTTACTTGAGAGGAACTCCATTCCAATTTACAGTGTGGGTTGCACTAATAAATAGAAACAGGTAATTTGTGCTTACAGAATCATACAAGAGACAGTCATATACTCTTCAACAATACTTTTCCGTTGTTGTTGACATGTAGTTGTATGTTACTGCATGCCAGTGCTGAATGTCTTGTCTCGTGCGCTGCCAGAATTCTTGATGGCTTACGAAGTGAGAAGTCTTCCACCCATTGAAATGTTTAATCATGACGCTGCATTTACATGGAGAGCGTCGCAAGACTACAATGTAATGTTGTATTCTTTTCAGGTTTTTATAAAGAGAATTCCTCAACCGAGGTGGAATCATGGCGTTGTCTTGACCTTGTGGCGGAGCTTATGACAAAGGCTGCATTACTAGACTGACCGAGGGGCATCACGGTATTTCTGTTCCTGTATCGACGCCATAGTTTCAACAGGCTTTCGCGAAAGTTTTTGTATGCGAAAAAATAAATGACTGGGTTATAGATGTTGGATGTCTTGGCGAACATCGCTGGGAAAGCAGCAGTAATAAGCGAGAAGTCGGTCGAAAGGAAGGCTGCGTAGAAGGAAACGACTGCGTACGGAGTCCATGCGGCGAAGAATCCAATGAACATAAGCAAGCCAATCTTGGCCATTTTCCACGCTGCTTTGATGGTTTCCAAGGTAGCAGCTGCGTTAACTCCCCAGATTTTTTGAGCGTTTTTTGTCATGTATCGAACGTTTACGAACATGAGTGTGTAAGAGACTAGGATGACGCCGAGTGGAATGATGTAGAAAAACGCAAAAAGGCAGATGACGAAGAAGGTGTCGCCTTGTTTGGCCGATTGCCATCGTAAGGAGCAAGCAATTCTCCCGGCCTCAGGGACGTACGCAGACCAGCCAAACAAAGGGAAAAGACTCCACATAAGGGAAAAACCCCATAGTATCAGAACCACTGTTACCATGCGACCCATGCTGTGTTGCGATTCCATTGGCCGAGAGAGTACGAAATATCGATCCAATGCATATGCTGCGTGATGCAACATGGTTCCAAGGCCTAAGAAAGTTGACACGAAAGCATAAAATGTGCAGGTAGTGTCAGTGAACCATGCAGACTCCGACGCATTTGCGGCTGCTCCCAGGGGATTTATCATAACTCCCATCAGCCAATCAGAAGTAGCTATGCTTATGATGAGAACGTTGGCTGGCAAAACGAGGGAACGGTCCATAATAAACGTCAAAAGGACTATGGAATTGAAGAAGATTGCAGCGATGGCCAACACGATGTAAACAAAGGCTAAGACGTGGTAAGTGCTCGGACTGAGAAGTTCTTCAGACATCTTTGAATCCTCAACTGTCGCGTTATGTAACGTTTTTACCACCTTAATGTCTCTGGCCTTCAATTCTAAAATTAAAAAAAAATTGTTTGCCTATGTCTCTATTTAAAGTGTTGAATGGAAGAGTTAAAGAGCACAACTAAGTGGCTGTCTCAAGTACGACTATTATTTCTGTTTGCTAAGCCAATCTATCAAGTACATACCAAACCCCCTAGAGCGGTAACTTAAATAACACGTACGCTAAAATTCTGGAAAATAGTAGTATTGTTCTCCCTATGGGATTTCTGAAAGATATTCTTATTAATTCTATGAAATTACCAAAGTTGACGAAAAAACAGCGTTTTATTAACCAGAGCAGTGGGAATAACAAAAACATGACTAATTAAAGCAAGCCCGCCCTTTAGTTCTCAGTTGTGGCATTAGATTTAGATTCTTCTTCACTGGGTTTATATTATAAAATGGTTTACTACCTGAGAACAAATATATCGTCGCTTTTGACCATTAGATTGTAAACTATTTAACCTGCGTTTTACACATTGGCATACAAACTCAAATTATTTTGAACTAAGTCACGATTAAGTGCCTGGCTTCAAAGTGAACGTGTGTGATCGATTTAATCCGTCAGTCTTTAGATTTCCATCTTCATGGGTTCTCGTAAGAAACTGGGCAACTCAACCTTTGGATGGAAAGTTTGTAAGTCACAATTATATCATGTTTCTGATTAACATCAAAGGCAAAACTCCTATCATTTAAAGTAAGTCGAATCAGAACAAAGGTATAGATCCGTAGATGTTGTTCCTATTTTGCAAATGCCGCAAAAGTGATATTCCGCGTAAGAAAAACACATGTTGCATTAACAGACAAAACTCTTTTCAGTCGATGAGCTGAGTAAAATAAATTATTTGAAGAGATCTCTCAAGGTGATGTTTTTCAGAGGTTAAACGACAGGGGACTAATTTTCCTTCACGTGAAAACAGAAAAGCTAAAGTGTTAAACAAAAAGCCTCCGGCTTTGATGGGCAAATCGAAGCTCGTTGTGAATATTCTGCTGCCTCATCATTTGGCTATCCTCAAATTATTCCCTTATGTCTCTCTCGTCTTTCAGGTTTTTTTCGGTTGCTGTTATTGTTGTTGTTTTTTTCTTTCCACCTTTTTTGCCAAAATTTAATTATCAAGTTTTAAGTGCACAGAAAAAAACAAATTATGCTAAAAGTGGCGATGAGGCCCGCAAGAAACAACAGGGCTTTTACACTATTGGCACCCTCCAACAAATATTATACTCATAGTCTTGAGGTGGAATAGTGACGAATAAACAGCAAAGCAGACTTTGAAAATGCTATTTTAAAACTGAATAGTATAATATAAAGCATAATAAGTCTCAAAAGAGGTAAAAATCGAAGAGAAAAGGAGATATATATATATATATATATAATCATACTGATATACATTTATGCAAGTTATGCTAGGTTTGCAATGGTTGTTGTCCGACAAAAGTGGAACGACTGCCTGCTATTCCTCCTCCTTTTTAACTTATATGTATTTTAAATATTGTAATTAGACATTGTAAGCGAAAAGCCCGAGTTGGGAGTTACAATAAACGTATGTATGTATGTACTGCAGGCTTATTTCTTCTCCTAAGAAACAAACAAATCAAATTTTAAACGATGAAAACGAGTGAACATTGTGATGTAAAGAAAATTAATAAGCAAATTGGTTTTAATCGTGCAAGACTTAAAGTCAAAGAGAAGCTTCTATTTCTTTGTTATCTTAAAATTATACGTAAATAACTTTCTTGTCTTCGGAAAGTGAATTACCAACAAAAAGAAAACTGACGCCGAATCTGCAGGAAATTGACTCACCAGTTGGACTTCAGACCATCACGTCTTAAATTGGTTGGCAACTTTTTTCGACATTAAAAGGATATGAAGTTATTTATGTTTAACATTCAATTTAAACAAAGTTTTAAAATGCTTTTTAAAAATCACTACTTGTAAAAATAGACGCACTTCTGCGTTTTTTTTCAAGCGTTTGAAAGGCATCAAGGCACACTCATCATTCGCTTATAACACTCATCTCACTTGAAATTTCATATGCACGTGAAATTTTGTCATACTGCGTGGGGCTTGTGAAATATGTCATCCCAAAACAAAAGTATTTCCACTTCCTTTTCTACTTATTCTTGAAGTCTACATGAAAAAAAACTTGGACTCATTCGTGCGATTAGTTCCTGAAAACGAAGGAACCCAAATTTAATACCTACGTCTTCTACGGAACGACAGAGTGATAATTAATAATTATTCACCGAAGTGGAGGCGAACATTAGTTTGTAAGCATCCCCGAACTAGCCAATCAGCGCGCTCGGAAAACACTTTTTACCTGTGTGGTACATACTAATGGAATATAATAGAACTTTCAGCAAGCAATACTTCTGTTCTGGATAAGCAATTATAGCCCATTTGCTAGTTGAAACCTCATCAAAGTAATTCCTTACGAGGGGGACGAGAAAAATGTCTCTCAAAAGCTGGATCATCAAACCATTTTCGGCAAAAACCACGAAATGATGGAACGGAAGTATTCATTGTCATCCTTCGGACATTATAATACGGTGTGCCAATCTGGATGATCTTACAAGAGTTCTAAACAACATTTGGCAACTAAACAGCTAATAACGAGTGTTCACTTCTTTTAAGAATATGACATAAAATAAGATAGAAAATCTATATATTTATATGAAAATATTGGAAATTTTAATTCCTCATACCTGATTCTGATGGTGCTCGTTTCTTAGGGAGCTTAAGCAAAGTAAAACTACGAAAGAAACGAAACTTAAGTAAAACAAGGGATATCAATAGCAGAATAACAGCCCTTAACGTGTGTTTTCAAATCTTGCTTCCGAACAGACTTCGTAAAACAACGACCTGAAATCACCCAAATTTGCGTGGTTCGAAAACAGGAACCACGAAGGCAAATCATTTACTCAGCTTGTCCACTCTGAAATCGAAGACACTTAAAACGTCACAGTTAAGAAAAGGTCTGGCGCCATTAAAAAAAAAAGAGCGAGCTACTGAACATATTTTTTTAAAAACATTGTAGAAATTCCTCTTCCGATCAAAAGGCTAAAGTACAAAGTCCATCGATGAGATATGAAACATGCAACAGTTAAAATACGTTTGGCTGTGAAAATAAAAGCTTCCAAGAGTTCATAAACTCCAAACCAATCAAGTAACAAGTTTGCAAAAAGCTCTAAACGCAAAACTAAACTCCGGAAGTGTCCACGTCAACCTCAGTGTCAAGTTCAAGGTTTCTACACACGATTGGTTACTTGACCAGATAACGTGCGTCGCGCCTGCATAAAAAGAGAAATAAAGACGCGGGGGAAGTATAGGAAACAATTGAAATTGGAAAAACGATACCTTCACGAAAACTGAAGAATGTTTCCAATCAAGTGTAAGTTTATATTGTGATCAATGTTTTCCTTGGCTTCGGCGTCTGATTGCTTAAGGGGATTATAGATGTTATTTTCTGTTTCGAATGCAAAACAACTGTGGACCATAGTGTGAAACTGAATCATCCATACAGCCTAAAATTGACCAATCAGATCGTCTGTCATACAGCCTAAGATTGACTAATCAGACTGCACATGAAATCTCAGTAATTTTAAGTGTGTTCTTATTTCAAATAGTACCTGCAGCCGAAAAGGAGCCACATCTCTCTCCTCTAAAGGATCTACATAAATCATAAGAAACTTCATTTCTGCTACTGTTCATCAAGAACAGAGCTCCTATTCTTAAAAACCAACATTAAGAGAGATTAGTTTTTAGCCACGCGCTGAAACTACGTCAAGATGACCTGACGCTTCCTTAAAGAAAAGAAAAAGAGAATTCGCGAAAATGGAAACGTGAGAAAAATTGGAAGCGTCTGTCAATACTGACAAATAACTTGAAATTGAGACTTTTAAAGGTTCGTATAATTTCATTTAACGTTCAAATTATAGTGGCTTGCCAGCTTAAGCCTACGCAGAGGTTCATCCAGCTTAAAATAAAACCAAACCAACTAAAAGATACAAAAAAGAAAAGTCGTGCACAACTGCCTTAAAAGATGTAGATTAATTGGTGCCGATGTGATGACTTTTCATGATAAATTTTACATCAATATCTGCGATTTTTTGTGATGGTAAAAATAAAACTTTTATAGTCGAGCTACATATATATTACAAATATTGCTACCCGATCAAGAAAAAAATCGAAATTGTAACCTTTCCTTGATTTTTTTGCGACAAGGAAGTCAAACATATCTTTTTTTTAATCTTGTCGTGCGGAGATTTAGAAGAAGATTAACATCACTGCTTTTCTTGCGCAGAATTTGAAAAGCGCTCTCCTAGAAGAGATTAAAATATTCTCCTAAAACACATTTGAGATCATAATGATTTAAAAGCATGAGTAGAGGAGAATATCCTACCAAGAAAATCGTGTCAAAATTCACAAGCTGAGTAGAGAACCACCAGTGCTTTTTACTCCGGCTGAGAACGATTGCGACACAATTTAAGACCGACGCACTCAAAAATAAAATTACAGTGGAATTGCATCTTGCAGAAAATACCATAATATACTGTTTTCTTTCAATGAAAGATTTATCTGTCTGATTCAGATAATAACAGCAATTGTATTCTAGATGGAAACATTACAGTGATTTGCTATGTTGGTACGTAGATGAAAATATTCGGTCATTGTTTATTTTGGCCTATTTGGAAAACCTTATTGAACGCGGCTTTCTGTGTAGAATTTTGAATATATTTCTATGGAAAATTGCATTATCAAAAGTAGTTTATTGGAGAGTAATGGCATTGAAATTTAATCATGACAAAGGGAGCTTTACTATCCATTTTTCATGAAAATAATATTTTCGTTTGAAAATGCTCGAATTTTCACGAGTGCTTAGAAGATATTCCCAGAAAATGTTGGTCAATTGGTAGATTAAATTAAAATTAAAAGCAGTAAAAAAAAC